AACCAACTACCAGAGATATGACCAAAAATACACCATTACTTAAAATTGCTCACATTTGGTATTTTTGCGTAATCACATTCTGGAGACCATAACATTGAAAGTAATCGGTACATCGCTGTAAAGTACCCCGATATGCATCAGGTAAACTCTGAAATATAAATTAGAAACGAAATTTAGGGTTCTACTGAACCAATTATCAGAGTTATGGCCAAAAATATACAATTACCCAAAATTTCTAGCAATTAGTATTTTTTTGGGTAATCATATTCCGGGGGCCATAACTTCTGAAGTAATCGGTGTATTGTGATAAAATAAATTGATATGCAATTTAGAAACTCTGCGCAATAAGTAAATGTAATAATTTGTGGGTCTGATTAACCAACCATCAGATTTATGACCAAAAATATACAATTACCCAAAAAATAAGGATTTTTTTTATTTTCTCGTAATCATTTTCTGAAGGCCATAATTTTAAAAGTAATCGGTATATTGCAGTGAAATAACTTGATATGCATTGGGAAAACTCTAAACAATAAAGCGGCTATGAAATTTGTAACCAAATTTCACCACTTAGTAGAATTAAGTTCGAAAATAAAACATTACCCAAAATGTCTAACATCTGGTATTTTTTACTTAAGCACTTTCTGGAGGTCATAACTTTTAAAGTAATCGGTATATTGGGGTAAAATATATTGAATTTAATAAGTGGAATCTGAACATTAGAATAATCGGATTTTTTTTTCCAAAGGCCTACCAAAGGTGCGGATAGCCGTGAAATTTAAAACATATTTCTTCAAGGTCTTAACACAGGCTTGGATTTTTCAATACTCAGACAAGGTGTGGATTTTTTTAAAAATTATTTTTCAATACCCAGACAAGGCGTGGATTTTTTTTAAAAATTATTAGTTGTCCCAAATCCATTTTTTTCATCTCCTAAAACAAAAAATAAATGAAAAATAGCTACAAACCATAAATAAAAAATAAAGAAATAAAACACAAAAAACAATTTTACAATTTCTTGTTTTAAAACAAAATAATAATTTATTTTTTTTTCAATTTTTTCGTGGTGATTTTTTTTTTTGATTTTTTTTTTCAAAAACATAAAAATTGGTACGTTTACTTAAAATAAAAAATAAAAAAACACATACAAAATTTTTTATAAGACACTAAAAAGGGAACTTAAGTACAAAGAAAAAAAAATTACACAAAAAATAAAAATAATAAAAAAAATAAAATTTCTATACAAAAAAAAAAAAAAAATAATTTTTATAATTTATTTTTATAAAAAAAATAAACGTACACAACCTTCCTTTTTTGAAAATAAAAATCATAAAGTTCATAGAACTTTTTCGGTTACTTAAAAATGTATACACAAAAAATTATAAAAAAAATAATAATTATAAAATTAAGTATTGGGAAAGGGGGGAAGGGTTTTTATTTTTTTTCTTTTTTTTAAATAATACTAACAACAATTTTTAAAAATTATTTTTTTTTTGTAAATGAGGTAAGACATGGAGTATTTTTTTTTTGTGAGGGCGGGTAAAATAAAAAATATTTCAATTAAAACTAATGGAATTTTTTTGAGGGAAGTTTTGTTTTGTTTTTTTTTTGTTTTTGTATTTTAATTAAATTAAAAAATAATAACAATTGTAATTTATTGCTTAAAAAATAATAATATTACAAAATAATAAAAATAAATTGAGTATATAAGGGTGTTGTTTTGTTTTTGTTTTTTAAATATGACACTAAGAAACAAATTTAAAATCATGAGGCAAGCAAAAAATCATTGTTTTTCATTTTTCTTAAATTAAAAACATAAAAATAATACAATTATAAAAAATTATAATTAAAAATTAAAATAAACTAAAATTATTAACACTAATAATCCCTGATATTGGTTTTTTTGTAATTCTATATTTATAAAAAAATGATTTGGTATCACTATTTAGTTGTTTTTTTTTGTTCTTCTACATCGTCGACGTCGTCAGAAAAAAAAATCTTTGAGGTTATGTGAGGGTTTTAACAATAAAAATTAATTGTTTAAAATTAATGGCATTTTAACGCATTGTCTCGTTGGTTAGATAATTACAAAATTTTTTTTATAATATTTTGTTGTAGTTGAAAACTATTTATATATATTTTTTTACAAATAGAGTAAAGAGAGAGAAGGTTCAAAAAAGGGAGAAAAATATTTTTTTTTTTTTGAAAAAAATATTTTTTTTCTAATTGATGAACAATTCTTTAAAAGTATTTTTTAATTAAAAAATCAATTTCCATATTTTTTGATTAAAAATATTTTCCAAATTTTAATAAAATATTTTTTTTTTTTTGAAAAATATTTTCCAAATTTAAAAAAATTTTTTTTTGAAGAATTTTCTGAATATTTTTTTTAACCACAAATAAAAAATATTTTTCTTAAAAAATTTTTGTAACTAAAAAAAAATTTTGATTATAAATTTTTTAATTGAAAAAATATTTTTTTTTTCAGAAAAATTTTTAAATAAAGAAAATATTTTTCTTATAGAATATTCATTTTTTTAGTAATTGAGGATAGACATTTTCTTCTTAAAAATATTTATTTTTAACTCAGAGAAAAATAAAAAATATTATTTAATTGAAAACTATTTTTTCTAATTTTTTTTAAATTTTCGGAAAATTTTAGGAGAGGAGAAGAGAGCAAAAAAAAAATTTTTTTTTTTGTCATAGAGAATGTTTTTTTCATCAAAGCTATTTAAATTTAATTTATTGCATCATTTTGTGCAAAAATGCACAGTGGCGCCCAACGTGGTACCTTAATTTTTCATTAAAAAACTTAAAAAAAAAAACTATCCCATTTTAAATCACAAACAAATTATAATGCTATGGTTTTGTATTACCAAATTCGTTACTTATATGTTCAAATGTACAAAAAAATAAAATTACGCACAGACCTCACGTTGGGCGCCATTTATAAAAACTGCATATTTTTTAACTAAACGACCATATTTGATTAAAATTGTTTCACATTTTGGAAATAACTTCGACTTCTTAGAAATTTAGTGCAGAATATTGAGATTAGTAAAGAGCCCCACATTGGACGCCATTTGTGAAAAAAAAAATCATAATTTCAAGTACTACATATTTTCTTGATGGGCATTGTGAATTGATTTCAACATTAGTCCCTTTTCTGAGGTGTTTAAGATTAAGAACAGACCTCACGTTGGGCGCCATTTACAAAAATCTGCACATTTTTTAAATACATGACCATAATTGTGACAAAATTTTCAGGCTTTTGTAGCCAGGTCCGTTTTTGAAGGCGCCAGATGCAAAATACTGAAATTACAAACGAGTTCCACATTGGGCGCCATTTGTAAAAATTACTTAATTTCAAGTAAAATCTACTTTTTTGTGAACAATGTGTAATCCTTTCATAATCAGTCCCATTTCTGAGGTGTTTAATGCCAAAAAATTTAAATTAAGAACAGACCTCACGTTGGGCGCCATTTACAAAAACTGCACTTTTTGTTAAATAAATGTCCGCAATTCAGACAATTTTTCAGGGTTTTTGTAGCAAGTTTCGTTTTTGAGGCGCCTGATGCAAAAAATTGAAATTACAAACGAGCCCCACATTGGGCGCCATTTGTAAAAAAACCTAATTTCATGTAATATCTACTTTTTTGATGGCAAATGTGTAGTGATATCAAAGCAAGTCAATTTTCTGAGGTGTTTAGAGCCAAAAAATTAAATTATGAATAGGCCTCACGTTGGGCGCCAATTAAAAAAAATTAATTTCATACAAAACCCTCCTTCATTATGAAAATTTTCTGAGTATTTTTATAATAACTTCCATTTCTGGTGTGCTTACTGTCAAAAAATGAAATATGGAAAAGGTCTCACGTTGGGCGCCAATGTTCAGCCTTGAATTTTTTACACCAAGACGACAAGGTTTAGGCAAAATGACATATTTTAGTGCCATTTGAGGTGACTTGAACTAGCCGTACGATGATAGAGTTTTTATCTCTTGTCATTAAACCGAGAAAATTTTGTAACTTCTTATATACTACGGCATAACATTTTTGGCTAACATTTGACAATTAAAAGGAAATTTTCAATATTTTCTGGGCTGTTCTGAAGTGTTGTTGTACTGAGAAAAAAATTTATTTTAAAATTTTTTAAAAGTCCTCAAAGTGTTTTCATTTTTTTTTTCATATATAAAACTTACTAAAAAAAAAGTCAGTTTTAAAAATGAAAAAAAAATGTTTTCAAAATTCTGTCGAACTATACGGCATGTCATGGAGAAAATTTTATCAGTTTAACAACATTGCAAAAGAAAACTTTTTTTAAAACTTCAGTTAAATTAACGCTCTACTTCGGAGCCTCATATAATGCAAGACTACAAATGGCGCCCAACAGTTTTTATTACTAAATTGTTTGTCCAATTCAATGAGGCTGGCGTTTATCTTTGAAAATTGCGCCCACATGTTCATTGGATGAAATTACAGAAATCCAAACCCTTCCGAGTTCTTTTTGAAATTTATAAGGTCCCGTGATCATTACTATACAACAAAATAAAATTTGAATACGAAAATGGTGATACTATTCAAAAAATACTCTCAGACCCTGAGATAGAGGAATCTGTTTTTGGGTTACAAAATTATTTTTCTGATTATATTACAAAAAAAAAAAAGCTGGGCTCACTCCGCATTAAATAAAATTTGAATACGAAAATGGTGATATTCTCTCTAGATTTCTCTGTTTCAAAAATATGTTTTTCCGCAAGGAGTTACGAACGTTAATATAAAAATTATTCGACGTCTTCGAAAAAAAAAATTAAATTTTTTCACTCTCTCATTCTCTACTTTACTATCTTCTTTGTTATTTATCTTTATTTTCTCACAACAATGCCACTATTTTCATTTTGAAATGGAAACCCTTCTTCATTAAAAAAAATATTTTCCTTCTCTCTCAATCGCTCTCTCTCTTTACTCCCTATTTTGTGTTACAGAAAACCCCCCATTTTGTTAATATATTGGAATTTCCTGTTCAATAATTTGATAGGATTGTTCATTGTGCTGCATCATGCTATGATGATGTTGTGTCACTTCCTGTTTGCCAATAAGAGAAAAATCGGGCGCCCCATTGCCACCACCATTCTCCATTTGCAATTGCTGCTGCTGCTGTTGTTGTTGCTGTTGCAATTGCCTTTGTTGTTGTTGCTGCTGAATTTGTTTCTCATAATTTTCGATGCTAATATATTCTTCTTCATCTAAATCGTGTGGATCATAGTCCTCTAATTCTTCTTCATCTAATAGATCATCATCATCGGCGGCAACATCATCCAAAGGATGCATGGAAGAGGTGGTGGAGTGGGGTGTCGAGGGTAATTGACGTGGTTGTGATTGCCGCTGCTGTTGTTGTTGCATCAGCGAGGGAGAGGGTGCCGATTGATAGGAATTTTCATAAATTGTTTGCAACATTTGTTGTTGCGGTTGATTGCCATTACCATTCATGGATTGCGTCGAAGAACCTGACTGTTGTTGGGGTGGCGGTGTCACCGAATTATATGAACTATTCGAGGCCGAAGCCTGTGGCACTTCCAAACCTAAATTTATCGTATCTTTGGATTTCTTTTCAACCTTAACAAAAGCAGTAATGCCACCCGCACCACCCCGACTACTATTACTACCGCCACTCGAAGTCCTCGACTTTTTACTAACCACCTTGGGCCGACTATGCGTCTCCATATGCTTACGCAAATGATCTTTGCGACAGAAACCCTTATCACAAATCTCACAGGTATGCTGTTTATTACCCGTATGTATGGCCTCAATGTGACGCCGCAAATCGGTTTTATGATGAAACTGCTTCGGGCACATATCACATTTGTGTGCCTTATCCGTCGTTTTATGTTTACCCAAATGCGTGATATAGACCTCTTCGGTTTGATAGCGTTTACCGCATTTCTGACAACGAAACGGATACTCACCGGAATGGAAACTTTTGTTGTGCTGTGTCAGGTAACAGATTTTCGTAAATTCCTTGTCGCAGGGTATGCATTTGATGCGTCCACTTGGCAGAACGGTAACGGGTGGTGCTCCAACGGAACTGGAAGTACTGGGATTACGTTTCCTTTTGGTGGCCGGCACAACGGCTGGTTTTTTGTTCGCAGCCACAACGGGTGCTACTGTCGGCTTGACATCTTCTTCCAGATCCATATCGAGTAGCTGGGTTTGTGATGAAGTGGAGGGTGGTGGTGTTGCGGCCACAGCCGTCATACCCATTAATTCCTGTTGTGTGGGTTTTTGCTCAGGATTGCCATAATTATTGTTGAGATAATCATCGGAATATTTATAGGGTTTGTGATCCATGGAATTACTGGATGAGGGTGTGAGAGAGGGTGAATAAGCCATCGATGGCTGTTGCACCAATGTTAGAGTTGTGGTACTGGGCTCTTGCTTATACTGATAAGCTATGGGTGGTAGATCTCCTTCGTGGGGCGACCTCTGGGCTATGTAAGGATTATACGAAGCCTGTGAGTAGAGAGTTGTGGGTTGCCCTGCATTACCAGGATTTGGCGAGGCCGTTATCAACTGCACCAATTGACCATCTTCCATTTGTATCAGCTGCTGCTGATGATGCGGATGTCCTGAGCTGGAGGTGCTCACCAAATTCCCATAGGCATCTATGGTATACACCTCAGCATTGGTCAGATTTGTTATCGAGGGCAATTGCTGCTGGCTGTTGATCCCACCACCTCCATTACCAATAATAGTGTGATGATAGGTCAGCGTGTGGTCCAGCGGCTGCAGTACCGAGCCCGGCTGCTGCAGCTGGTGGTACGATGGAATGTTGGTGATGCTGTTGGTGGTGGTGGTAGCCAGCATGTGCTGGTGGGTACTGGTATTGATTGTGTCCAGCTGCTGCAACTGCTGCGGCTGAGTACTGACTAGCGGCTGCAGCTCCGTAAGCGGCTGCTGCTGCTGCGGCATGTGGTGGCTGCCCAGCGGCGGCGGCACCAGCATATTGCCCATACTGGTGGGGATGGTGGGGGTGGTAGTATCCGGCCGCAGCTGCTGCTGCTCCATGGTGATGTGCTGCGGCGGCAGCTGCAGCATACTGTTGTGCTGCTGCGTGTTGATAGCCAAAGGCATGTTGATGTAGTGCTGCTGCTGTTCCATTGTATTGGGATGATGCAGCTGCTGCTGCAGCTGCGGCGGCGGGGTTGGTGTGAGGGTATAGGTGCCCTGCGCCTGCTGCTGCTGAGCCATTTGTTGTTCCAGCTCCAGCTGCTCCCGGTATTGTTGGTGGGAGATAATAAGGGGCGAGTGGACTGGCATGCTGTGCGTGCTGCTGGGCGTGGTGTTGTGATAGAGACGCTCCATGTCCTGTTGCTGCTGCTGATGGTCCAGCTGATAGTGCAAGTGATGCTGTGACTGTTGTGGCTGCTGCATGTGGTGGTGATGAGCCGACACTTCCTGGTCCGCTGCTGCGGCCATTGGTGAGTGAATGTGATGATCCAATTGCTCCTGTTTCACATAGTCCTCCGGTTTCGGGGTGAGTGTTGTTGGTGGATCCGTGAGTATGCCCACTGCCTCCTCCACTTCCTCCTCCTCCTCCGGCAGGTCCTCCTCCTCCACTTCCTCCTCCGGCTCCTCCTCCTCGTCTTCCTGTTGCAGATCCCCTTGATCCGGGTCTGCCATTGCCGCCTCCATGTGCTCGCTCTTTGTGATAAGCATTGTTGGTGTTGTGTTGTTGTTGGTGTTCAGCAGGCCCCTCATTTGGGAGGACGGCATTGTTGGCTGTGTCATTGGGACGGAGGGGCCTGCTAACGCGTTTGGGTGACCGTTCATAACGGTTTGTGAGTGAGAGTGTTGACCGGGCTGTTGCTGTTGGGCGCCAGTCATTGAGGAAGCATGCTGTGGTGAAGCGTTTGTCGTTGATTGAACTTGAGGCATGTACGGATACTGCTGCTGTTGTTGCTGCTGCTGATGGTACATGCTGTTGGGCGAGGGTGTGGCAGCATAGTGAGACATTGGCGTCATGCCACCAGCCACTGCCGCCTGGGGCCCGCCATAATCATGCGGACTATTGGGCGGTTCAGGAGGTATAACAGGATTGGGAGGTTGTTGTTGCAGGGCGGCAGCATTGGCGGCGGCTGCAGCAGCGGCCGCAGCTGCTCCACCACGACGACTAGGTTTTGAGCCACCCTCTCGGGCGGGATGATGATGGGCCGAAATGGGCAAGGTGGCTGGATCAGGTTGGCCACTGGATTTCACCGCATTCTTATGCAGCGTGGTATTGTAGTGCCGTTTTAGATGACCCGAACTGGTAAACCATTTATTACAGGCCGTACAGTTATAGGTTTTGGGTCGACGGGCCTCATTCGACTTCCAATTGGCGGCCTTCGTGCCCAAATTGGTGCTCAAGGCAGAGCTGGAGGTGGGCGGTTCAAAACTGCCACCGTTACGGAATTGTTGATTACCCGCCGCTTGTCCTGGACCATCTGTGGTGGTGGAGGGAAATTCCGCCGGACTTGAGGAAACTGCCGGCGGCATCATTTGCTGTTGTTGACCCGTCGCCACTGCATTGTTTGGTGCCGTCGGATCAAACGACTTATCACCCATATATTGTTGTGTTGTTGTATCACCAGGATATTCATTTTTAATCATGGGATATTCCGATTTAATGACATTCGAACTGTTGCTCACATGATAGGGTGAATCTTTGGGCGAGGGATAATAGGGTGAGTGATTTGGCGGCATCGACTTGCCATGGCCATCATTGGAATTTTGCTGGAGATAGGGTGGCAGACCCTCGGTGGATTGTTGATCCCAGGAGGCCATGCCGGCCCGTTGCTGCATGCTGTGCATTGATTGTAAGGGATCCGCAGCGGATGGATGATGTTGCATCATGCCGCCGGCCATAAGACCTGTGCCGCCGCCGGGAGGATATAACATTTTTTGGCTATCCAAATCGAGAATTTCACCAGGGTTACCGCCACCGCCGTTGGATTGTTGATGGTGGTTGGAGAGATGATGTTGCGAGGGAGGTGTTTGCTGGGGCTGTAACTCTTCCTTGATGTAGGGAGAACTGGCATAACCACTGCTGCCATATGGCGAGGCCCCGTGCACATTGGCAATGTGCTCCTGCAATTCACTGTCATTGGTACACATGATGCCGCATTTTTTACACTGTGGAGCCGTGCCGGCTGGTGAGCTGGGGTTGCCGGCACTCATGCTGCCAATGCTGCTGGCACTGCCACTCATTTGCATTTGATTGCTGGACGATGAGGGACTGGTGGAGCTGACAACACGTGGACTCATGACACTTGAACTGGCGGAGGAGACGACAGCGGGTGCCGGCGCCGAATGTTGATTATTGACCGCGTCCAGCGCATTATTTGAGGAGTTGGAGGAGGCTGGTGGGGGTACTAAAGAACCTCCGCCGCCATTGCCACAATTTCCTGAGGAGGATAATCCCGAGGTGGGAGTGTGCAGATAAGGATGATAACGTACACCCGATGACTGTTGTTGTTGTTGCTGCTGCTGGGTATGGTGGGGATGATGTTGAGGCTGTTGTTGTTGCTGTTGTTGTTGTTTACTGTAATCTGTAGCAGGATACATATTGGAGTTTTGGGAATTCGAATTCATATAATCCATGCCATTTTGTTGTTGTTGTTGCTGCTGTTGTTGTTGATAGAACTGTTCATAGCTATTGAGATATGATGGGTAACCGGAATGCTGATTCGGTGTTGAGGGTTGAGACTGCATATCCACATTGGAAGAGGATGTGGCATAGAGATTATGTTGGGCGCCACCATACATTTGATGATGCTGTTGTTGCTGCTGCATCGCTGAGGTAGTTGTGGTTGTTGGCTGTTGGGCCCCACCTGCCGCATACATATGATGATTGGCATAGGGATGATGGGAGATTCCACCGGGCATTGAATTTTGCATACCTCCCGACGATGAGGATGTGGAGTGTTGACTATCATTGCCATTCTGATGCAGCTGCTGCTGATGATGATGCGACTGGGGTGTTGCCGGTTGATTATCACTAGAATCAGCTGCCGCTGATATGGTATTGCTGGTAGAGGTAGTATTTGTTGTGGAGGATTGGGATGCCGATGAGGATGCCATGTTATTATTGCCATTAGATCCTGTACTTGTATCCATGGGATCACCAGCACCCTGTGATGATGATTGGGATGAATCTATGATTCCATTGCTATCACCACCACCACCATTATTCGTATTCGTTAGGCCGCCCATGCTAACAGGCGGCGGTTGTGTGGTATTGGCCGGAGTCTGTTGGACACCGGCCAATGATTCCGCCGTATGTAACGGCGGCATTTCTGTGGCCAAAGTAGCCATTGATTGCTACATTCGGCTATTATTTTAGTAGACCAAAGATAATGACAAGGGCATTGGGGAGTTTAATGACGAAGATGATCGCGACGATGACAACAGCATAGGGACTGAACGTCAAACCAAAAATTGTTACACACACATACACACAAGGAGGAAATCAAGTCGTCCAAAAAAAAAAAAAATCTCCAATAATCGTTGTTGAATATTTCTCTCTCTATGTGTGTGTGAATGAGTAAGTGTGCGAGCGAGCGTGATCGGGATCTTCTTTGCAAGGGCTGAAAATCTGTTTTCTTCTTGTTCTCTTGTTTCCTTTCTTTCTGCTCGTAAGACGAGAGGATTTTTGTTGTTATTGCTGCGCGTCGTGGAAGATTTTTTTTTTTGCTTTTGCTTTCTTGTTGCTGTTGTTCTTTTTAGCTCGTATCTTTTTTCTTTTCGGGATTTCTTTATGTTACGGTTGTATCTAAAGTTAAGAAATTTGGGGGAAGAAGAAGAAAAGTAAAAACTGGTTTTAGATGCCTTGATTTCGGAGGGTTTTATTGTTGTTGTTGTTGGTTGGAAGGTTTGCTAGATTTGTTGTATGTTAGAGATGGTGGTTTTTGGTTGCTTGGCTGTTCTTTTTAGGTTGATATTTTTTTTCTCATAAGGAATGAAAGGATGAGTGTGTGTTTTAGGCTCCGGAGAGACCAACACATAGATACAAATATTTAAAGTTGGTGTTTTTGAGTTATTACAATTTTTTTTTTTATATAAGAATATTTTGTAATTATTTCTTTTTTTGGATTTTGTTATTATTCTCTTCTTTTGCAATATGGTCTCATATATCCCTAATGGAATTATTTTATAAAAAATTAATGACATTATTAACAATAAAATATTTGAATTATTTGATATAGTTTAAAAAATATTTTAAAGTGATACAAAAATTTTATATATATATAAGAATTTTTAATAATAAGAATACATCGAATTTATTATATTATTCAAAATAAGATATGTATTTATTTAATTATTTTTAAAAATCTAAATTTTTTCATTTAATATTTTATAAAAAGACATATTAAAATTATATTAAGTAGGCGTTGATTGATTTTTTAAATAATCCTAAATGCCTACAAATATTGGTAAATGTTTTAAAAATATTTTTCTGATGCCTAACAATGGGTGTAGATTTTTTAAAACATCTTTTTTTAATACGCATGGATTTTTGAAAAATAATTTTCTAAGGACTATTTTCCTAAGGTATAACAAAAGCCAAGTATTTTTGAAATATATTTTTCTAAGGCATAAATCGCCTAAAAATAGGCCAGAATTTTTGTTAAATATTTTTTAGGCCTATTTTTTAAATTACTTAAATATAGAAATATTTTTTCAAGACCTAAAAGTAGGCGAAGATTTTTGAAATTTTTTTCAGGGCCTATCTAAAGTCTTGAATTTTTTTGAAATGTCTACAAATTGTCGTGGACTTTTTTTTTAAAAATTGTTTGTAAAGACTAAAAAAGTCGTGGATTTTTGAGAAATATTTTTCTATTGCCTAAAAATAGGCCAGAATTTTTTTAAATATTTTTTAGGCCTATTTTTTTACATTACTTAAAATAGGCGAGGATTTTTTTTAAAAATATTTTTCTAAAGCCAGTAATATGCGAGTATTTGTTAAAAATATTTCATAAACTAGGCCTGTTTTTTATTTAAAAAAAAATATTTTTTTTAAAATAAAAAAAATAATTATAAAAATATAATTTTTTTATATCATCAATATTTTTAATCAATTTTTTACAATTTTATTTTTTGTTTTATGAAATTACATCAATTTTGATTAGTTAATACAAATCATTAAAAAAAAATTTAAATTTGGTATTTTTTAATGAAATATTAATAAACTAAAAAATAAAAAAATAAACTAAAAAAATATTTTTTTATATCATTAATATTTTAATCAAATTTTTACAATTTTATTTTTTGTAACAAAATTATTAATTTTGTTTTTTAATATTTATTATTGTTAACAGAAATTTTATTTTATAAAAAAATATTTTTTTATATAAAGTAAAAAATAATTATTTTCTATTTTTAAATATAAATAAATATATTTCAATTTTCTAGATGGCGAAATATCCAATTTTGTTTTTATTTTTTTTTTTTTGTATTGAGAAGCCTTTCGTAAATTTATATTTTTAATATTTTTTTCAAAGCATTAATATATTAATTCCTCTTTTGAGATGATTATAATTGCAATTTTTTTTTAGAAAGAAAAGTTATAATTTTTTTACGAAATTAATATTTTGTAATTTACTAGAAGCCAAAATAACGCTTTTTTATTTCGATTTTTAATCATTTTTTTAAGATTTCAAAATAAAATAAATTGACGAATAAAATATTTTTTTTTAATTTTTCAATTTTTTTAATATTTTTTCTTATACTTTGTTATAATTTTACTGTTTTAAATGTTATTTTTTTAATAAAATGTTTCTGCAAAAATCAAAAATTCATATTTCGATTTTTATTTATTTATTTTTTATATGTTTTTTTAATTAATATACAATTCCATAAAGAAATAAACAAATATAGAATTAAAAAAATTATAAGTCTCATTTTTGGGTATATATACTCGCCATATTGCAAAAAAAGTTTCAGTTATTTATGGTTAATATTAATTTTCAGAATTAAATGTTCATATTTTTTTATTTTCAACTTCAAATAATAATAATGTTTCCATTTTCAAATTAATTATTAATTAGTTCCATTTGCAAATAATTCCGATTATTGGAGTATTCCATTAAGTTCCAGTTATAAATTTTTTAATAATCCTTTTTCATTCCGTTCCATTTTTAATATTTTAATTTATCAATTTTTCCGTATTGTTTATTTTCACACTCTCCAAATCACTTCACTTTATCACCAAAAATTTTTGTTCAGTGTACCACCATAGAATAAACAGTTGTTTAATTTTTTGTATTTGTCTTTATTTTATTTCAATGATCGTTTAGCGATCTCTTTGCTTTTGCACTTTGTTTATATTTTTTTCTGTGTGTGTTTTGCAATTTCATTTTATTGTTCTCTTGTACATATTTTTTTTATTATTAATTTCTTTTAATTACCATTTAAATCAATTGGAATCACCAAATTAGTTTTTATTTGCACTTGTTTTTTGTTGTTTGAATTTGTTTAGGGGACGCGCGGGTTTTTGTTTGATTTTTTGTTTTAAAATAAAAATCAACTTAAAATGTGTTTTTTTTTATATAAATGAAAGTAACTTAAAATTGTAACGAATTTTGAATTTTGACAAATTTTGTTTTGCACTTTTTGTGTTTTTCTTTTAAACTTAAAAATATTTTTTGTTTTTTTGAAATAAAAATTATTTATTTTTTGTTTTTTTTATGATTTGTCCAAATTTGTTTTTGTTTCTTTTTTATTTATTAGCCAAAAATGTTATGCCGAAAGTATTTTTTGGTTTGTTTTTTAAAGGAAAAAACTAAAAAAAGTTGTAAAAAAGAAGTGAGGGCGCTTTAAAGCTTCGTCACCAAAATGCCAACCGCTCTGTAACACGCGCTGTCTAATTCTAAATCGTATGTCCTGTTCAAATGACCGGCCAACCAACCAAACCAACAAAATTATTACAAAAACAAAAAAAAACTACACACAGCGACACAAAACGAACAAGCATGCACTCACCACTCATGTACGCACACACACACTCGCACTCATATACACAATGAACGCCAAAACCCGACTCACACAAGCAACGAATGCACAGCAGCACACAAAAAAAAGAAGAAGAACGAGCAAAGCCGTACTCGTATGGCAAAAAAAAAAAAACAAACACAACACAGCAGAATTCTGTTTAACGTTGGCAGCGACGCCAACATCTACGGCAGACGTCGTTGTTGATAATGATGATGTAGGCTGCGACGAAGACAATAATGATGATGTTGTTCGTTGATGGCAGCAACGACGACTACTACTCGGACGACGATGTGCGAAACGTTACAATAGATGCGCGCCAATAAACATTGTGGACACCAGAAACCAAACCAAAACGAAGAACAAGAAATAATGCTGAGAAGCAAAGCCATGCAAACCAAATCAAATACACAAGCCAAACAATAACAACAACAACAACGAGAAAATGTAAACAACAAAGGCAACACACACAGACACACTCAGGCAAATAATAACAACAAATGGTGATACTCAGCTGAGCTCTCTCTCTTCGTAATACGAAGAGTTTGCCGATATATTACGAGGAGAGTGTGTGTGAGAGAGAGTGAGAGTTAGAATATCACTCAACAAGAGTGTGCTTGCTTGATGGCTGGCTGGCTGGCTTGCTGTATGTAGTTGGCAAAAAGGAATTGAAATAAGATAGAATAATGAAAACAAATAACAAAAACAACAACAAAATCATGATTATTATATTCTTGTTGTTGTTGTTAATCATTAGTTGTACATAAAAATTTAATAACAGCAGTGGAAGATGAAGGAAAAAATGAAATTAAAATAAAATCAAATGAAATGGGAAGAATACTTTAACTCTCGTCGTATCTCACTCTCAGCCAAACATTGCCATTTCATTTACTCCATGACAAAAAAAAAATAACAACAACAACGACACTATTGTAATTACTTAACCAAGTATTACTGAGTGATGGTACTTAGTAATATGCGCATTGCTATACATTTATTCTAGAATTCGTTCACTCTAAAAAATGGCAATATTAAGGTTTCCTTAGGAAATCTTCAATTCAGCCCGGCTGAATTAAGGTTTCCATAGGAAATCTTCAATTCAGCCACGCTGAATTAGGGTTTTCATAGGAAATCTTCAATTCAGCCAAGCTGAATTAGGGTTTTCATAGGAAATCTTCAATTCAGCCAAGCTGAATTAAGGTTTCCATAGGAAATCTTCAATTCAGCCTGGCTGTATTAAGGTTTCCATAGGAAATCTTCAATTCAGCCTGGCTGAATTAAGGTTTCCATAGGAAATCTTCAATTCAGTCTGGCTGAATTAAGGT